TGACACCAATCCTGTGGTCTTTCACTGCGGTACAGAGAATCTAAGAATGGAGATCTCCCCAGCAATCACATCAGAAACAGTTGTTGCATTTGAGACGAGACCTCTACCATCCGAAGATAAATAACAGCATTTCTCCTCATCCTAATAGCTTCAGGAATCTAATAAGCTGATTCAAGATTCATGATGCATTAAAATACATTAGAGCCTTTAGAAAATTTATGAATCCTTATAGCACATTAAAGCCCTTTTGAAGCCCTTTAATTTAAATAGTATACCTTTCGACATACATATACCATTCCACTTCTGCGAGATGGTCAAAAACAGCTAGAGGGGCCGCAGCTTATGGAGAACCATTTATGTATTTTGATTATAAAGGCATTTTTCTAGTGTGGCCTGGGGATCAGTGTTATTCAGCCACTGTGAAATAAATGTTGCCAAAGTGTTTCCAAAATATGTTTACTGTCTTATCATCTTATCAAAGATTGGCCTCTCTGCATAAAAATGCCAAGGCATTTCAGGAGGTATTCAATACTATATATTTGTCCTCCTAGTGCATATTCTAATTCTATCACCCAGCAGTTTGCATGCTGATGCTCTCCAATGAATGTAAATGGACTGTATAAACATGCATCATGGATGGAACACCATTTCGGTTAAATCATAGTCACTGAGTATGGTAGAGGGCACAATTTGACTTCCTTCTTTTTTTTCCTACATGTCAGCGGCAAATCGATGTGTTAGAGTTCTGCCAATTTAATTTTTCTGTTCCTTCTTCATTTTTCATGGCTGAGTGCTTAAGTGCTTAAGACACTTCCCAGACAGTGTAAAAATGATCGGTGAACGTGCAGTGCTGCTGCATGCATAGTGCGTAGTTGTCACAATCGCCACGTCCCCCTTAAACTCCAATTCCCAGAATCCCCAACTTCCAGCCATGCCCACGTCCCTGAACTCTGTCAGTCAGCCTTGTTCAAGTTTTCAGACTTGCTAATCACTCACCCATAGCTCTTTATTAGCATCTATATATATTCATTCCTTTCAGTTCATTTCATCTCTGATACACAGAATTGGAATTAGAAAATATATAAAGAAGTTACAACTAATTCAGCTAGAACAAAATGATTCATTCATTCATCTTTAGTAACTGCTTTATCTTGGTCAGGGTCACAGGAAGGAGAATTCCCCCTGATTAGACCACCAGTCCATTGCAGCATGCAAATCGCACATTCACACCTAGAGACAGTGGGTTTTTGGACAGTGGAAGGAAACTGGAAAACCCAGAGGAGTCCTATGGGAACATAGGGAGAAGACCCAAACCCAACTCAAGCTCACAACTGAACCAGGAGCCGTGAGGCAGCAATGCCACATGCTGTGCCACTGTGACTGAAGTCTTGCTACAATATTAACAATAATAACTTTAAAGATGGAGTTGCCAAATACAAGACCTTTCAATCCTGCTGCTATTGAATGGGTTTTCAGAATGGAAATGACCATTTAATGAATTTAATGGATTTTCAGCATATGACCATTTACCATGTGGACAATGAGGACATTCATCAGAAACTGAAAACAGTAAAAGTTTACTTTAAAACCATGCATTTGGCTATAGTGTTAAACTTTGTGCATCACCTTTTCAGTCAATACTACAACATCAGCAAAAATATGGACAAAAGCATAACTCTTTAACTCTTCAAATGACAATAATTTATGTGATTATGTTCAGGTTACAGGATTAATAAAACATTCCTAAAATGATCAATTTTCATCATTTTGAACATTTTTTTTTATTAAGGAAATGCTTTAAATGTCAAAATTTTAAATGTCAAATGGATCCACATAATAAAATGGTCGCTAAAGCTCAAGTTTTTATTTAATGTTTGTTTTCGTGTAGTGCAATGGGCAAGAACAATGTTTTTCACATTAAGGATGGATATTAATATGTTTCTAAACAATGCTACTTGTCTGTGGTTTGTTGTACAGGAGACATGAATAAGACATCTTAACCTTTACTCTGTATGCATTTTTTAACATTAGTGGGACAGAATCATTAAATTACAGAGAAACACAGCTTGGGATGCCTAGAAGGAAACAAAAAACACAGCTTATCAACAAGGAGGACTTTACAAAAAAAAAAAAAAAAAAAAACAGCTTAAATGATGAGATTACAGCTCAGAACGACCTACACACAAATGCCAATAATGATCAGTGGGAGTGACCAAGGAGGAGCTGCAGCAGAATTTGAAGTAAAGCAGGAAGTAAACAGTAATGCTCTGTGAACTCACCATATTTAATTTCAGAGATGGAAATCATTAAGACCATTTTGACACCCAGAGCTCTCAGCTGATTGCTTTAGTTCTGCCTGCGCTTTGGCACTGCTGACTAGACATCGTCTCCTTTCTCTATGGCCACGGTTCTGTAGCAATCATGCTTGTGAAACACTGACCCGGGGGGGTAAACTACTGATCAGAAACCATATTTGCCCTTTGTCCTCTACTCCTGGATACGTGTGAACATTTGTTTGACTCATTTTTATCATTCTGAGAAACACACATGCTTACCACATAGGCATGACTGACAGCCTGGAGCTGCTCAAGACACAAACGTTTTGGCCAGTTATCAGAATTAATGACACTTTAAATCCTTTTTTTTATTTCACGCAGTGTGCTTCTCTTTGGATATACACAATAAAATGGCGAACGGACCTCAGCTAATCTGAGGTTTTCAGAAAGGAAACTAATTGCGTTCTTTGTCGTGCATGGCTGAACTCCATCCAGGGTACTCCAAGTTCTGAGGGTGTAACATTAGGTTCCATCCTTCATGTGTCCTGTGAGCCTGCGCTTAAAGAAACAGGGCCAAATAAAAGATTGAAGGGCTTCCAGAAAAGAACAAGAACTCATCAAGTTTACACAGTGTATCCATTTACTAGACAAGATTTCAACCTAGCATTCAACTGTGAAAATGAAATAATATAGCTTTATCTAAGAAAATGGAAGAGAGAGATATAAATACAAACTACAAAAAGGAGAAATATGATAAAGGCTCCTTATGCACTTGTTATCTTAATATAAGGTATGGACCATCCTTGCTAACTTCTCCATACAGTGAATGCTAGACTAAAGCATACATCTAAGGTTGGCATCTAAGGTTTTATGTTGAGTGCATTGGACAAAAGACCACAAGACACTTAATTGTCAAAGATTGAATGTGGTGCCTCTGTGGTGCTTTTTCTCTTTTTGTCAGAGAGGTCAAAAGAGCAGAAGAGGGTGAGCTGAACAGTTTCAACACAGAGCTCACAGCAAGGCTTTTTAACCCATTCATGTGACAAGAGTATCAATATGTGAAAGATTCAAAGCAGCATGTTATATTCATCAGGCAGATATTAATGTGTCTTTAAGGCAAGGTACATCACCCAAATAGGCTTGTTATTTTTCTTTATTCATATTAGAATGAAATTTAACCTGCTGACATTAATCAATTTTGTATTACAAATTTCTTTCAGAAGTGTATTAAAATATGCAAATGAGGCAATAGATCAAAAGATCCTACTTAAGCCCTTAAGACCCTATTTGCATAGTACAAAAATCCATTTTCCAAAAAATAATAACTCTAATAATAACTATAATAATTTTTGTTTGTGTGTGTGTGATAACATACCCACTGATCATCAAAACATTGCTATTTATGGAATTTAAAAAAAAATGATTTACATGTATGACAAGTGCAGATCTTGCATACACATTTATAGATATCACTAAAACTCTAAACTACTCAAAATACCCAAACAAAAAAAACAAAAAAACTAAATCAACATCCATATAATTGAACACATTGGTTCCTAGGACAAAGTGTGACCTACAAACCAGTGTGTTCAATTATATGGATGCTGCTTCTTTAAAAGCTAAAAGGTTATCATGGAAGTCATTTTAAGAAAAAAATATTTTATATATAGTGCAGGTATGAAAGTTATAGATGAAAAATATCCAAAAATGCCTAGTGGGTGGTCTCTTTCAGCTTGTCAATTCTCAAGGCAATAAACAGTTAGACATTCATGTGTGGGACTCCATGACAGTGCTTTGCTTAATGGAAAACACGGCCAGTTTAGACAACACCAGGTTATTACCATTAATCCTATACTATGAAAATCAACCAGTCAATCCAGTGACCAGTGGAGTGGCTCAGTAGTGTGGGCTCAGTAACACGGTGAATGCAGAAGGTTCTCTGTGGTGCTGAACTGTTGCAGAATGGCCCTCGGTTCAAACCTAGTTAAAACCTGCCGTGCCCTTAAAAAGGCACTTCACCCCAAACTGTCTGAGTGTGATGTGATAGTGGGTGGCAAAAATTTCTGACAAAAAACAAAAATCTGACAAATATCACTTCATAATGTGACATCCTTTCAGTTTCACAAGGACCATATTTATTAACCATTCCTTTTGGTATTATTTTCCTCCATATGGAAAGAAATAGCAAAACCAAACTGAACTTCACATTTCTATTGTCTTTTACATACAATTTCTTGATAAAATGTATAAAAAAAAAGCATATGCATAAAAAGTCAAATCAAAAGAATGTAAGTTTGCTCTTTATCAAATTACATATCAGCACTGAATGAACACTGCTTCAACAGTAGCGTTTATTAAAAAAAAAAAAATAGTGATAGGCACTAACTCTCCTCTGTACATGCCACAAGTGACGGTAAAACCGTTACCGTTTTTTTTTTAAACCCAAAAGACGTACAAGTGAGCTAAACACCACATGCTGTACATGAAAATGAGCATATTTACTGACCACTTTTGGTGAATATAGACAACAGTATGTTCTAATAATTGGTGCTGAGCACAATCGTTGTTCTTCTTTCAGCTGCTCCTGTTAGGGGTCGTATAGCAGATCATTGGTCTGCATATTTGATTTGGCACAGTTTTTACACTGGATGCCCTTCCTGATGCAACCTTCCCCAATTTTATCCAGGCTTGGGACTGGCACTGGGAGTGCACTGTCATGTGTGGTTCCCTGGCCAGGAACTGAACCTGGGCCACAGCAGTGAGAGAGCCAAGACCTAAACACTAGTCCTCCAGGGACCTCGGTGCTGAGCATAATTAAATGTGATTATTTAAGCGAATGATCTTACCTGTGTGACAATTTGTCCTACCTAATTGAACTGCACTCTCATTACATTTTCCTAACCTCTGTTTAGTGTCTAACTAATTTGTTTTATTGTCTAACTAATTCAACTGATTCGTGCACACAATTTAGAACATAGTGCACATGGAATAAAAAGTTCCTTTTCGTGGCCTTTCACTGTCACTGCTACTTTGCTACAATGTCACTGAGACAAATTAAATAATTGTTGTTTAAATATAATAGTTTAAAATATTCATATACTGTATGGAGAATATATACACATTTGCAATATTACACGCTATCCTTTTCTTTTACTGTATTACAGGACAGTGTGCATACCATAAAACATCTCCCCCGACTTTTCTTATCAGATGCTCAACTGATTTTCACAAAATTTCTTCGGTACAGGTGTTATGAATTCCTGCATATTACAGGTGATGTGTAATACACCTCCGCTGTCAATATTCTGATTTACTATAATTATTGGAAACTGTCAACAAAGTAATGGTATTATAAAGTGGTGAATTTTTTACTACTATTGGCACATTTAAATCTACTACACCATTTATTAAAAACAATCATAATAATATCTCAGTAATCATTAATCAAGAAAACATTAAGGAAAGTATTCTTAAAATAGCAATCAACAATAACAAAAATAAAGGATTAAATATAATCAGAATTTCATGTATGAAGTACAAATACCTTTACAATCACATTTATCAGAAATTAAATAGCATAAAGTTAGCTAAGGTTAATGTGATAGCTAACCTAAAGATCAACATGAATCATTGTAAAATTTCATCATAAATTTCAACATAACTGTTAAACTAATTCAACAGTGCTCAATCACAAATCCACAAACTAATCATGCTGAGCACACGCATTATGTACCATAGCCAAAGAATGGATGTACTTCTAACATTAGCTAAGAACTTACATCAATATGAGCAGTACTAAACTGTCAAAAACTAGAAACTAACATAACCAGCAGCTATAATCCTGCCTTAACTCTTTTTATGAATTTCTGCCTGTTTGGGGTATGCCCATGTTCAGCATTGAATTTATTTGTGATGTCACACACCACAGTAGTGGTTAATGGCTCCTATGAAAGTAGGACTTTAAGCAGGGCTTTAAGAACTTACAGTTTTTCACAGTATTTCTTTTCTTACCTAGCCTACTAGGTTTAAAGCTAATCATTTTATTGTGGCAGTTGTATATGGTGTTTTACTATGAAAAAAGCTTTAGTTGTGCTGTCCGTTTTATCTCTGTACCAGTGTGATTGTGGAGAGGTGTGAACTGGGGGCTCACACCCCTCCCCATTTCCCATCGCCCTGCTCACCAGCAGCTAAACACAGAGTCATGATACTCTACACACAGAAACCCAACAGTGTCCTGACTAATCTTATAACAGACTTGCAGCGATAAAATAATTCAGTTGTTTATACTTCCAATTTCCATTCCACTGGAGAAATGAAACACCAATGTACTGCTAGAAAGGGTTAATAACATAAATTTATATTCAAGTCAGTGGAGCCAATGTGGCCCCTATGGTGTATACAGCCATTGACCTGTGTCCTAGTGAGTGAAACTCATTCAGAGAAAGCAGTGGCTTCATGAAGGCAGCACTAACATGCCAGCCAAACACAAGAACATTCATTACAACCTCAGAAACAATAATACAGTCTAGATGTCCTGGAAAAAAGAGATATTTGCTCTAATGCACTGAATATAATACTTCACATTTGAGTATATAAGAAATAATCAGAGAATATAAGGGCTATTTAGAAATTTCTTACAAATGAGTGGCCCAGATGCACTTTATGAACAGAGATTTCTCAGCAAACAACACTGTGCAGAATAATGCATTGAGCGAGATCTATGAATATAAAACCTGGGAGGCAAAAACTATAATATGGTGAACTGGTGTGATGGATATTTCCCCTACTATATTACATGAATTTTAAAAGAAAAAAAAATCTCTTTAGTCAGGGAAACAAAGAAATGCAAAGATTTCTGTGCATTTGTGAGACCTTAATGCAAATGTGATATATTTCTAAAGCCAGACAAAAGATTCTGAGAAAATTAAAAATGCTGCACTGGGATTTGAATGTGTTTGAAAATACAGCAGATAAACAAGAGGAGAGTAAATACTACGGAAATGAACACATATCTCTGAAGATCTAACAAGTGCTGATTAACAGGAAGGAATAAATAAATCAAAACGTGTCACTAGAGGACTCAAGCACATGAGGAGCTTCACTGAACTAATAGGAGACAGTAGCACGTAACGTGTAGAACAGAGAAACAGAACCCAGCATACAAGAAGATCTATGGAAAAACGGGACGTAAGACTCCATAGGTATGCTTTGCTGAATCCCAAGGAAGCTGTATTTAAGTGTATTTAATGTCCTCTGGTAGAAATTGCTGACAAGTAGGACAGGAGTAGAATTAGAGGGCAGGCTTAGGTCACATCTATGTTTGTAAAACACAAAGGCTGTTATCACTACCGTGCCAGCTATAAGAACATAAGTAATAAAATATGAAAACTCTAAACCATTCATTACTTCATAACCCAGTCTTTGATTTCATAGTAAGCAGCACTTTCTGAGTAGATGCTTTGTAAATAACAGCAAGTGCATCGCCAGTATAAGATTCGATGATTCTATGAAAAATGTTTATGCGGTGAAATAACAGTAACAACACATCACTCTTATTTCAGTTTTTACTGAAATTTATTATTCATATCTAGAAACTATCTCTAGTTAATTATATGTGCTTTTCTCTGTCTGAAAGTCCTCATGATGTGAAGGTGGAGGGAGCATGGCTTCCAACAATATTCTCTTCAAAACAAAACTATTTTCTCCAGTTGCTGAATTTCACCCCTCATATCAGCCAGTGGTGGTGAGAATCACCTGGATAACATATTTCAATAATGCCATGAGGATTATCTGGAAAGGTAATCAGAGATCTGCTCAGTGCACAGTGATGCCCAGGCAGCAGCAGAACAGAGTTCCTGGAATGGCGTAACCTCTTAATATCACCTGAAGATATTCTGGATATCTTCCTGAAAATATTTCTGACCCTCAATTCACCTTGAAGTCTGGAGAGTGTTCATGGAGCAACTGAGCCTCACCTCTAGCCATCACCCTGAGTCTGACAGGCAGGGGGAGAGACCAAACCAAGAGCTCGGATAGTATTACTTCAATTGTGGAGACCGTCACGGTGATTAGTGTTAGTTTCTCTCTTGGGCTCAGAACTCCCTGATCCATTCTCTGTCACTCTCTTTCCCCTGTGACACTCCACTACCTGCACTCATGGCTGACAGTCTCCCAGCATACACTGTCCAAGCACTCCATCAATGCTGCCCTTATAACCATGCACTACGCATACAACCTCTTGCCTCAGGAACAGCTCTTAGAAGGGAGACTTCTGTAAGTCCACACAACACTCCACTTCACCTTATTACTTATACCTATATTCCACTTCCCAGCCATTCAGAGACTCTTTAAAAAAGCACTCACAGTCTCTTTGGGTAGCACTACACTATTCATGTGCTCTCGCACCATCACTTCTACAGTATGCCCCAGATTTCGTGTGTCTTTTCTGAAATTTATTCCTAATCTGTGTTAATGCCATTTTGTAAAGATCTGCGTGTATATTTATCATAAACTTTGTAGTATTTCCAAGTTTCTAGTTCATTCTTTGTTCACTTCCTTCTTAGCCGTTCTTTAAGTTCAGTCACGCCTGGATTTTAGTATTCTAGCTTTTCATTTGAAAATGCTCATTAGTGTCATATCTTGTTCGTTCTGCATTTTATCTCGAAACCCTAGTTACAACTATAGGTTAAAGCTTATCATGAGCCCATTTCATATTTTACATTAACTACATTATTAACTAGACAATTTACATGATCGAATTCTAACCATTAACCACTAGAAAAACTCAAGCAAAATCGTACTACACTGAATCATAATGCACCACATTGAAACATGGATAAATCGTACTGCATCAAATGTTTCCTGCTTAAAATGCATCTTTCACGCATCAGATCATTTCCCATATACGAGACATGTCACATCAGTCTTGCCAGTGCATTGAACCTTACCGAGGCACTGCAGTATCAGAAGGTCCACACATTCCTTATGTGTTGAGATGAGGGAGAACATACTGAAACTGACCTGGATTCTGCAAGGAAGACCATATACCAGAGAAAACAGATTACTGGGATTGGACTGGAGAGTACCATGACCAAATGACCAGTCTGGAGATTATGTCAGAAAAAAGAAAAACTGCACACAGCAAGGAGACATTTCTGATTGTACTGATTGCAGGATGTTGTGTAGCTGCACATACCCAATTATTGCAATTCTCCAGTCAAGGAATCACGCCCCCGCAAACAATTTAAACAACCTGTCTAGTGTAAGACAGCTATTTACAGTATTCATTTAAACAAGTCAGTGGGCCTTTCTCAGTTCCCTTACAGCAAATACAGGCAGAAAAAATAAAACACTTCAAAACAGTAATGAACCCTTGGACAGCATAATTAGTTGAGTAAATGGCAACAGCAGCATTGTTTAGTGTAATGCTTTTATAACATTCTATAATAAAAACCATGCTTAGCTAAAGTGTATTGGGTTAAGAAGAGTTAAATTGAGATCTGATGTTCTGAGCCTACAGACATCCTAAAAGCCGCCGGCAGCAGCTGGACTCATTAGCACAGTCGACAGTTCCTGTTTCCCATCACTGGAGTGCATCACTGGTGAAAGCTGTCTGCACTTCGAATAGCAATGCCACAAACTCCACACCCAGCAAGAAATGGGCTAGAAATTAATGTGCCTGAGCCACTCAGAGGGTCGTACTAAGAGTTCAGTGAACACAGTGAGGATTTAACACTGAAATTGCGCACATCCGCATTCAGACCTCAGACGTTAACTACAGACGTTAACTACTATTC